CCGGATAAGACGATTATAGACGACTGCGGAGAAGACAATTACGAGGGAAGTCGATTTCGATTGTGGAGAAGACGATCACGAGGAAAGAAACAATGTCGATTTCGAAAGAACAGTTGAGAAAGTTTGTGGTTTTTTTTTACGTTCTTTTTTTCTTTTGAGAGGAGAACTTAAACGTTTTTGCTTTTCAAACTTGACTTTTTTTTTTTGGCACTAAAACTTGACTCTTTTCTGATCACGGTTATTTCTTAATGATGTGGATTTGTTTTTGATTTTTTAATTAAAAATAATCTCAATTAAGAAAAATTAATCAAGGGTGTTTATCGTAATTAACCAGGGATGTGGAAATATTTGAGTCATTTTTGAAAGATATATGGTATTCTAGACAAAATTTCCAAGAACGTATTCAACCTGTTGAAGGGGATCCCAGTCTCTACCTTGAAAATATGTCAAGGTATATTACATTTTATATATGCACATTTTTGTATATGCATAATTTTTATATATCATTGAAATAAAACTTAAAAATGTAGCGATGGATATTGGGGTGATCATATCACCTTGCAAGCAGCAGCAAATCTGGTAACTTTAACCTTTTTCTTTTCCTTCTAATACTTATCTTTTAGTTCTAATTCTCTTTTCTAATGGTTTGTCAATCTTTTTTTTTTTATAGTTCGGTGTGGTTATAAATGTGCTAGATGTTACTACATCTACAAGCACTATCAATTTGGTTGAAATTAGGCCTCAAGGGGAACAAAACGAAGACCCACCACAACTCTGGATAAGTTTATGGGACAACTTACATTATACGTCCTTAGAAGAGAACTTTTAATTGTATGGGTAAGGTTAGCATACTATGTGAAATTGGATGGGATAAGTTTTCATCTCTGTTTTACTCTTTTTAATAAAAATGTGAAATTGAAATTTNTGCTTATNTAGCTTATTGATATATGCATGAGCACATTTCATTAAGTTGTTTAGNTTATGGNTTAGGAATCAATGAGAGTTGGAGAATAATACATAGGGNTNGTTTCATTACATTTATCAGTGGAAGTAATATTTAAAGGTTTATTACAATTAAAACCCAATTAGGTTATAAGTTGTTTATTGATGAGTTTATGGTTTTTGGCAACAATGGTACACAAATGTAGAAGTTTGGTTAGGCTATGGCATGATGGGGTTGTTTTGTCAAAAGTATTGGGAGATTATCAAAGGCAAAGTGATTGTTTCTTCCCTCTATGTTGGCTTAATTATGGTATTTGGTGGTCTCAAAGTAATTTTTAGTTAGAAGTAGGAAACTTTGATGCACATAAGGCTTGGCCTTGCCTTAAGTGATGGATTGATGTAATGAACTCTTATTCAATCTAATATAATTCAGATGAAAAAGAAAAGAATGCTTTTTGTTTTGAGTAATTTCGTTATAAGGTTGATATTCTAAACACTTTCAGTTGTGTTGTGTTTTGCAGATAAAGATTGGCCTTGATTTTGGTGAAAAGTTTAAGCACATTGTTCTGTTTTGAGGAAAACCTTCATCGAGGTTGGGAAATCTAAATCTTAGTGAAATCAGTATCTTATGTTTGCGTCCACTAAATTTATTCCTAAATTTGTTTCCTTGGTGACCATATATATAGGCCTTCTGACATTTTTTATCAGCTCTACTAAGTTTTGACTACTTCTGTTAAATTTCCTGACACAAAGGACAAGTATGAGTTATCAAGAACCTATTGTGAAGTTGGTCTTGTGAGCGCATGGACTTTATGTGGTAGCCAGTTGTGCCCTCATGATTCTCCTTTGTAATAAGTGCAGAATACTCCTAGATGCTAGCCTTTGTGTCCCTCATGATTCTCCTTTGTAATAAGTGCAAAATACTCCTAGATGCTAGCCTATCATACATTCATTTATTTCTTTTCTGGCTAAAATGAAGTATGGTTCCTTTATCTTAGCTTAATTATTTTTCCTTAATGTTTTATTGAGCATATTGGTTAGGAGTAACATATGATGAGGTTGAGCATATTGGTTAGGAGTAACATATCCATGATTTTGGTTGGGGTTGTTTTAATCAATCTCTGGCTTGGAGGTTGATCCAGTATTAGCGAGATTCCTTAAGAGTAGATGAGTAGTTTCCTAGAAGCTAATAGAGACGATCATTTGGGTGGAAAAGTATTCTGTTTGGAAAAAAGAGATTGGAAATGGTAAAATTCTTATGTCTGTGGATAGAAGGTCTAACCTG